CCCCAAAACCCCAAAACCCCAAAACCCCAAGATAATAATTTTACTAATAGTAATCGAGATTTCGCATTAAATCAATTGAATTAAATCATTATTCTTATTGTTCAGGAGCAGGGTTGTCTGTGACACTCCTTAAAATTTTGTTCTCATTATTAATTCTTTGCATTAGATAAAGAAATATCATTTCATTATACCACTAGCCTCTATCTATTGTAGCTAATCCTTTCCCAGTTGACTCATCAAAATAGATGCAATTCTTATCATTTGAATCTATTTTCATTTTCAACTGTCTAAATGGAATTAATACCTTTTATTCCTTTATCTTAAATAATCCCTTAGGTTTACTAACCTCTAATTATTCAGTTTCTACATTGAAGTCGATTCTGCCAACTATAGTGTCCACAAATTAGTTGTATTTTCTACTGTAAAAGAGATTCATCATAGATATTGTTGCAAATGATCCATAGATTAATAAGGAATACTCAGCCAAAGGGACTGAAAAAAATGTCATCACTGAGAAGCCGAAATAAGTAGTGTTAAGTAGGGCTATCAATCTTCTTATCATAACATTCTTATGAAACAACTCATAAAGCTAATCATGAGCCAGAAAGAAGGGTATTAATTTGACCCCCTTTTATTGCCAAGCATCTCTATACCTTTAATATTCTTCATCATTCAAAACCTGGGATTACTTATTAGCTATCTCTTATTTAATTTATTCCTTAAGCTCATCTTATCTCTTTGGAAATTTATTAGATTATTTGCCATAGAATAATTCATGATTCATATATTGCTCATTGGTCTAGAGCTTTTTTTCAAGCAACTTAGCTAGCTCATCTTCTTTTTACCTTTTAATATCATTTATCTTATCCTTTTCAGATTTAGGCCTGTTGGGGTCAAAATGATCTAATAAACTGAAACCCCTCCTGCATGTTATCAAAGTATTAATCATAGTTTAATTCTTTGATATCAAAATCTATTTCTTTAGTAATTGATTTCTATTTTATTACTGATCCCCTCCTGCATTGCCAGCTGGAGGATTTCCACTAGGAGGCTAGTATTGCTACTAACCAACTTGAGTAGATCTTCTGCCTGCCATTAACCCATTAAGTGCACCTGAATTTTGGGGGCTTTGACCATTATCATATAGCATGCCTTTGAATTCTTTGTAAGCCTAGAATGAGCAGTATATAGCTATCGGGTAGAATATCAAAAATGCTACTGATAGCAGAGCCTCAAAGGTCTTAAAGCCTCCGTGCCAGTACGAACCAAAATTATCATTTTAGACTGATAAGCCCACTGATGAGAAATAAGAGATAAATTTATTGCAGTTGAGTATCATGTAAATAATCATTTGACAGAAGTGCATCTAAGAAGCTGCACACCATAATATCAGTATTGAAAGCAGCTCATATATTCCATTGACCGGACTAACAAACATCAAGCATATTGAAAGCACAAGATGAACTATCAAAATAATGTAGAGCCTGGTACGCAACTTTAAGCCAAGAGGAGTGGGTGGTACAATTGGTTGCATATTAATGCCACCTCCTGGAAATAAACACATTTTATTGTAATCTTTTAATTATTATAATAATTATAACTATTTCTATCTATTATTATTCTCAAAGTTTAAATTCATATATTCTAGCCTAATGGGGTTTTGGGGTTTTGGGGTTTTGGGG